TAGCCTTACTCTCCAAATCATTGCGCCCTCAGTTTTGTGCAATGAAATCTGCTCTAGTTTCATTTTGACGTCGTAATAATTTGCAATTTATAGACTCTTGCGTGGGTTTCTCACACATAAGCTTGTGCCAGAAGTGAGGAGAGCTTTTGCTGCAGTGCTCCTCCTTCAGCTTTCTTTGTCTTTGCATTTTGTTTGCAGTAGTAAATTGTAAGGCTTCTATTTTCCATTTTCAGCATGTCCCAATAAAGTCTTTTATCCTCTAAATAGTTGTAATTTTGTTTGTACTCGGGAATTTTTTCGCTCAAACCCTCTAGGAAGCACTGATCATCAAGGAGTGAGTTATTGAATTTGAAATATATCCTTGTACCCTTTATATGAAATCATCGGACTGGATGTTAAGCGAGACGGCCGAGTGGTCGGAGAACGAAAGAGGAGAGAGCCTACATCTAGAGAGGTGAAGTGAGTCAAAAGGCCGGGCATCGAGGAACAATGTCTGTTGACGATCAATGTTCAGTGGTTTCGTTCTTAGCGTAGTAAACCGCATGTAATGACAAACGCAAGACCAGAAGAAAGGAAAACGTAAGCTCCACATTACCGCGGACAAAAATTGGTTAAAGCAAAGATAGCAATGACCAACGGGACTAAAAGTGAATTCACTTCACACTGTCGAATCGCCGCGCTGCGAAGACGAACTTCTTGTTGTTGTTGTTGTTCCCAGCTCGTTCGCGCATGCTCGCTACAGTTCTCGAATGATTGACAGATTTCTTAACTAGAGCGGTCATGAAAACCGAAATGCGGCAAGATCAAAGGCTGTTGCCAGCCCCCTGAAATTAATTCTTACAATGCTGACTCTGGTAAGAAACTTTTTCTGGTAGATGTAGGTCGCGAATTATGGCCTATACAGCTGCCCATTTATATATAATTTATCATAAACTCAAGTTGCAGTATGTCCCTTCTTCTTGGCGTCTTTTAAGATTGGTAAGAGAAGCTTTCTTTTGTCCACGATCTCTTTCAGAAAATCAGGCGCGACCGCAAATTTGGTATCAGAAAGATTCTAATGGCCTGACCTAAAACAAATTCTTTATCTTTGTGTTACGTAAATTTTGCGATGAGCGGTCTCGGTTTGGATTCAGTAGGGTTGGACTTTCCAATGCAGTGAACGCGTTCGAATTCGAAAGAAATATCATCTACGTCTTCTTTGCTTATTTTGAGCTCCGCAACCATAAAATTCTCCAAAATTGTTTCAAAATTTTCGAAAGATTCGTCCCTTTTCTCAGGAATATTAAAGAAATTCAGGTTGTTGCGGCGACTGTGACTTTCCAGCTTAATTGCTCTTTGCTTTTCATATGCTGCTTGTTTGGTTAACGACTTCACACCTTTCTCGAGCTCGTCGATCGCTTCATCTTGTACGGCCATCTTCTCCCCTAGCTCTTTAACAAAAGTATGAGCGAATTCTAAACTGGCTTCCAATTGCTTGTTCTTTTCTTCAAGGACTGTTTGCTTTTGCTTTAGTTCTTTGATGTCTTCAATGCAGCTTAACACGCTGTCAAGCTTTTCTTTCATCTCTGCGATTGATTCTGCCATATTGTGACAAGATTCACAACATTCTTCAAAGCAAGATTTTGAACCTTTGCTTCTTTTTCTTCTTCGCTTACCTCTCGCAGTGTCTTTCTTGGTAGCAGCTTCGTCATCTGACATTTTTCTCGGCTTTCAGGTACCACGAAGAATGAAATTACATGCTATTAAAGTCGGAGCGCATAACAGTGCGTCCGAACTCTTCGACAGTCGTCCCAGTCCCCAGAGATATAGTCATTTTAAAGCTTACAATATGTAGATTCTAGTAAAAAAAAAAAAAAAAGATTTGACAACTGCTATATATTCTCCTGTATTTATTTTAAGGCGAAAGGAAGAGTCATTAAACATACACACTCTTCCGAAAATTATTTTCACTCCTTTTAAGTAAGGATCCGCGTAAGATGGATAGAAATTTCTTTTGTTATGCGGCAACGGTGCTTTCCCCACATAGGAATGTTCTCATTTTTACACAGAGAATGCATAAACCTACATAAAGGCCGTTTACGCAATAAAATGCATTTACACTCCACTTTGAAAGGGTGTTTTTTTGTGTTAAAAGATTTTGACCAATCACAGGAGTTGAAAACAATGGCCAAGAAAAGTTTACAATTTTACATGTTCCCCACATAGGATTTCTTTGTTATTCAAACTGAGACCAGATTTTTTTATATGGAAGATGGTTGGAAAGTAAGGATGAATGCATGTACTGCTTTATGAAGTTTTGTTAACTTTTGCTGTTTAAGCCTATCAGAAGTAAGTACAGACAATAGAAAAGTTAGCAACTTTTTTGCATTCCAACATGTTCGTTGCCATTCAGTGCTATCGTTCTTATCTGGACCGTTTCTTAATTAATTTCCGCAAGGCATGACAGTGAATGACGCTGAAAATCATTAGAATGATTCCTGCGGATAGAGAAATTGAAAAGAAGCGTTAACATTCCTTATTTCTAGAGTTATTCACGCTCGAGTTTTTGTTATGAAGTCATTACGCATAGCTTTACGTAAAATGAAACGGTGTTTGGTCCGCATTCGGTAAGCTCGAAGTCATTAAGACGAGAAATATTATAGGTAGAGATCCTGTTTAACAGTCATTTTAAAGCTTAGAATATGTAGATTCCAGAGAAAAAATATATATTCAAGAACTGCTCTACATTCTCCTGTATTTATTTCAATAGGTCAGAGTCGGTTCAAAACATATATTCCCGCGAACACAAAATCTATTTTGGCGAAAAAAGAGTTACCTAATCCTGTCATGGTGATATATTTAAACGACGATTCAATTTACTGTAAAGGCAAAAAATTCTACACACAAGCTCTCGATTCCATCGCGGAATCTTTATCAAATGATGGATTTGGGCGTTTTGTCACGTGATTTATACTGTGAAAGTGACAAAAAGTCTCGATAGATCGCGGGGAGCTCGTAGCCAGCGTCTCTGGTGACACAACGTGAATCGAAAGCTTGGGTGTAAAAAGTTTTTTCCATTCCTGTGAATTGAACCGTCCTCTATTTTTTTTTTTTAACTCCATTGTTTTATTGCTCTGAGCTAAGGGTTCGCTTGATTGTTTGTTTGTTTTTTTTTCCCTTAAAAAGGGAGGGAGGGGGTTCTTGTGCAACGATGCAGGCTTAATTGGTGAAATACGATCATTCTATATTCCAAGTTTCAAGAAAGCACTAAGAAAAGGCCAATTTCGATATTTTCTAAAGCTCATACTTGCCTCCGAGGCTCTGGGAAATAGCCTGACGTATGTACAGCCTCCTAATCCCCTCAAATAAAATCTTTCCTACAGCTTTTTAACTACAAAGTGCGATAGGTATTACAGAGTGCGACAGAACATAGCAAGCCGGTTCCGATACCCTCATTCTTTCTTCAACTGGTAACCTTGAAGGGTACCTTTCACGATGCCTTGTTAAGTGGATATGGTGGAGAGTCACATATCAAGGTGTTCCGCATAAGTTGTATGCCGGATAACTTTTCGTGCCGGTATAGTGAGAGTATAGGCTCCTTACACAAAAGCTGACAATCACGGACGGGCAAGCGAAGGCCTATCATGCCTGTTTAGACAGCCAGTCAGCAGAAAGGAGACTGTGCAATGCTTGGAGCTTTCCCACTGCCACTTTTTAGTAAACATGAAAAGGAGCGCATCATCCATCAAGAATACATTGATTTCGAACAAAATGGCCATTCATAGCATCAGATAAACGTATGTGTTTTTGTTATTTTTTAATTGACTTTATCCCCTTAGTTCTAACAGTTTCTTTACATCAGATTCTGCTTCTGTTAACAGCTCAACAAGAACATTTTGAATTTGACACTGATATAATTCATCATAAATACCATCATGGAGTCTTCCAGTAAGTTATCAATTTCCTAAGTGTCATCCATTTATGACATCAAAAAAAGCGATTTTTTTTACATTATTCTCTTGGTGCATTAGCTACTTTACAATTTATCAAGAGCCTGTTTAATTTTACACGAATTCACCGTAAATATCAGCGCATGCTCTTCCATGGTTATCACCTTCCCACGTGTCATCCAAATCCTCGATATACCACAGGCGCAGATTTTGACCAGCACTAATGGAAACTGGAGTGTCGTAAATCGACATGACAAGCTCGGGCGAATAGGAGCTGTAACCAGGAACTAAGACCCAATTAAAGGAGCCTTTACCTAACTTATCACACATAAGCTTGTGCCAGAAGTGAGGAGAGCTTTTGCTGCAGTGCTCCTCCTTCAGCTTTCTTTGTCTTTGCATTTTGTTTGCAGTAGTAAATTGTAAGGCTTCTATTTTCCATTTTCAGCATGTCCCTATAAAGTCTTTTATCCTCTAAATAGTTGTAATTTTGTTTGTACTCGGGAATTTTTTCGCTCAGACCCTCTAGGAAGCACTGATCATCAAGGAGTGAGTTATTGAATTTGAAATATATCCTGGTACCCTTTGTATGAAATCATCGGACTGGATGTTAAGCGAGACGGCCGAGTGGTCGGAGAACGAAAGAGGAATTTAGGTCTTCTAAACAGAATCACAGCCTGAGAGCCTACATCTAGAGAGGTGAAGTGAGTCAAAAGGCCGGGCATCGAGGAACAATGTCTGTTGACGATCAATGTTCAGTGGTTTCGTTCTTAATAGCGAAGTAAACCACATGTAATGACAAACGCAAGACCAGAAGAAAGGAAAACGTAAGCTCCACATTACCGCGGACAAAAATTGGTTAAAGCAAAGATAGCAATGACCAACGGGAATAAAAGCAAATTCACTCCACACTGTCGAATCGTCGCGCTGCGAAGACGAACTTCTTGTTGTTGTTGTTGTTGTTGTTCCCAGCCCGTTTCGCGCATGCTCGTTACAGTTCTCTAATGATTGACAGATTTCTTAACTAGAGCGATCATGAAAACCGAAAAGCGGCAAGATCAAAGGCTGTTGCCAGCCCCCTGAAATTAATTCTTACAATGCTGACTCTGATAAGAAACTTTTTCTGGTAGATGTAGGTCGCGAATTATGGCCTATACAGCTGCCCATTTATATATAATTTATCATAAACTCAAGTTGCAGTGTGTCCCTTCTTCTTGGCGTCTTTTAAGATTGGTAAGAGAAGCTTTCTTTTGTCCACGATCTCTTTCGGAAAATCAGGCGCGACCGCAAATTTGGTATCACAAAGATTCTAATGGCCTGACTTAAAACAAATTCTTTATCTTTGTGTTACGTGAATTTCGCGACGAGCGGTCTCGGTTTGGATTCAGTAGGGTCGGACTTTCCAATGCAGTGGACGCGTTCGAATTCGAAAAAATATCATTTACGTCTTCTTTGCTTATTTTGAGCTCCGCAACCATGAAATTCTACAAAATTGTTTCAGAATTTTCAAAAGATTCGTCCCTTTTCTCAGTAATATTAAAGAAATTCAGGTTGTTGCGGCGACTGTGACTTTCTAGCTTAATTGCTCTTTTCTTTTCATTTATGCTCCTTGTTTGGTTAACGACTCATACCTTTCTCGATCGCGAGCTCGTCGATCGCTTCATCTTGTACGGCCATCTTCTCCCTTAGCTCTTTAATAGAAGTATGAACGAATTCTAAACTGGCTTCCAATTGCTTGTTCTTTTCTTCAAGGCTTGTTTGCTTTTGCTTTAGTTCTTTGATGTCTTCAGTGCAGCTTAACACGCTGTCAAGCTTTGCTTTCCAGTCTCTGCGATTGATTCTGCCCGTATTGTGACAAGATTCACAACATCCTTCAAAGCAAGATTTTGAACCTTTGCTTCTTTTTCTTCTTCGCTTTTCTCTCGCAGTGTCTTCCTTGGTAGCGGCTTCGTCATCTGACATTTTTCTCAGCTTTCAGGTACCGCGAAAAATGAAATTACATGCTGTTAAAGTCGGAGCGCATAACAGTGCGTCCGAACTCTTCGACAGTCGTCCCAGTCCCCAGAGATATAGTTTTACAGTCATTTTAAAGCTTACAATATGTAGATTCCAGTGGAAAAAAAAAAGATTTGGCAACTGCTATATATTCTCCTGTATTTATTTAAGGCGAAAGGAAGAGTCATTAAACATGCACACTCTTCCAAAAATTATTTTGACTCCTTTCCGCAAGTCATGACAGTGAATGACGTTGAAAATATTTAGAATGATCGCTGCGGATAGAGAAATTGAAAAGAAGCGTTAACATTCCTTATTTCTAGAGTTATTCACGCTCGAGTTTTTGTTATGAAGTCATTACGCATAGCTTTACGTAAAATGAAACGGTGTTGTGTCCGCACTCGGTAAGCTCGAAGTTATATGACGAGAAATATTATAGGCAGAGGTACAGTTTCACAGTCATTTTAAAGCTTAGAATATGTAAATTCCAGAAAAAAAAAATATATTCAAGAACTGCTCTACATTCTCCTGTATTTATTTAAATAGGTCAGAGTCGGCCCAAAACATATATTCCCGCGAACACAAAATCTATTTTGGCGAAAAAAGAGCGAGTTAATCCTGTCATGGTGATATATTTAAACGACGATTCAATTTACAGTAAAGGCAAAAAATTCTACACACAAGCTTTCGATTCCATCGCGGAATCTTTATCAAATGATGGATTTGGACGTTTTGTCACGTGATTTATACTGTGAATCACGTGACAAAACGTCTCGATAGATCGCAGGGAGCTCGTAGCCAGCGTCTCTGGTGACACAACGTGAATCGAAAGCTTGTGTGTAAAAAGTTTTTTCCATTCCTTTGAATTGAACCGTCGTTTTTTTTTTTTTTTTAAACTCCTTTGTTTTTTTGCTCTGGGTTAGGGGTTCGCTTGATTGATTGTTTGTTTGTTTTTTTTTTTTTTCCCTTAAAAAGGGGGGGGGGGGTTTTTGGGGAAGGGTTCGGGTTTTTTTTTGTAAATTAAAGTCTTTTTATTTTCAATTTTTCAAGAGGGAGGAAGAAAAGGCAAAATTATTGTGTGTTTTTTTTTTTATTGTTAGTGCGCCCTCCCATATTTCCATCTTTTCCCTTCCCGCGCTCTTTCCTTTTTGTTGGGGGTTGTTTTGTTTTTTTTTTTTTTTTTTTTTTTTTTTTTTCCCTTAAAAAGGGGGGGGGGGGTTCTTGTGCAACGATGCAGGCTTAATTGATGAAATACGATCATTCTATATTCCAAGTTTCAAGAGAGCAGTAAGAAAAGGCCAATTTCGATATTTTCTAAAGCTAATACTTGCCTCTGAGGCTCTGGGGAATAGCATGACGTGTGTGTCCCAATCCTCTCAAATCAAAATCTTCCCTACAGCTTTTTAATTAGAAAGTGCCACAAGTGTTACTACAAAGTCAGATAGGTATTACAGAGTGCGACAGAACATAGCCAGCCGATTTCGATACCCCGTGTTGAGGCCTCAAATGTAATAAATGACCCCAAATGTAATAAAGGTCCTAAGTGTAACAACTTTTGACCCTAAATGTAATAAAGGTCCTAAGTGTAATAACTTTTGGCCCTAAATGTAATGAAGGTCCTAAGTGTAATTCTTTCAGCTTTTTATATGCTTTATGTCATAAGACGATTTCATAGGGTTTGCTTTTAACCTTATTACAGTTTAACAGAGCGCCAGAATGTGTCTAGGGAATATCAGACACTAAATACCCCAGACAGATCCCCTATATAGCCATTTGAGTAACAACTTATTATTCGGTTAATGATATCATTATCACTGTTATTTTTATTGTCATTGTTAACTGAAAAGAATGTTTAATCGAAGTGAATTGTAAATAGTCCTTTGACCGAATAGTGATTAATTGTAAATAGGTTTAATAGTTAGCATTGTTTATCAAAAATACTTCTTTAACGACAACTTGAAAACAGAGGTCCATGATATGAAGCAATTTTTTTAAGAACTCTTTATTGTCAAAAAAGGACTGACGTATCTTAAAACTTATGTAACAAAACAAAAGAGCCTCGTTTATTATAGCAAATTTTCTAAAGAAACTGTAACTTCATCCGTTGGATTGAACTAAAAAAAAATCTGTTTCATAGGCAAAGGCCAAAAATGTCAAAATTGCAGCCTCTAGTGTCACCATGATTTCTAATCTGAGTCAATAACACAAATCAGCTAAACTGTTTTTACTTTGTCTGTTAACAAATAGGTGCAAGTAAGTGTACTTTAATTGCTCCCTCGTCCTTTCCACCATACATTGGTAACATAAAACCAAGTTCCAACCCCAGCAAACAACAGCTCAACCCATGCCTTTATCCATCTGGGGCTGGCTATTATCTTTCTGCATTATTTCTGTATGGGCCAAATTCTTTGCACAACTTGTGCAAGCTGAAACAGCCACTTAGCGCAGTATCGCGATTGTTGTAGCTTATTCGTGGTAGCCGACAAATATAACGCATTGTGAGTTCTTTAAAGGGTTCACCAAGCTGGCAAAGGGAATTATAGGTGATAACGATACTTATGTCAGTTCCAGTTAACGCGAAGTCTATCATTTTGTCGAGTATTTCATTTGAAAGTTGACTGATTGGTTGGACCACCTTTATCATCATAATCACAATCATAATTTTGTTCTTCTTCTTCTTAGCTCTAAAAAAAAGATTTTGGATCTTCAAAGTAGAGTTCCTTATACACTCGCTAGAAAAACAGGAAAGCCAGCTGTTATTTGAAAATGTCATTTCATTCATGTGGTGAAATCCTGGAGAAAAAGTTAGCATAAAAATTCACTTCAAGAAGTACTCCTGGTAGAAATTAAAATCAAAGTCGGGAAGTCAGAAAAACCATAAAGATATACTGCCCTTAATATCTTGCTGTTTATGTATAACTTCGTGTTCACAGCATTCTGTATGGACCGACCGACATACTCTTTTGGAAAATGGTAGAAAAACCAACATTTCTTTGTTTGGCGCAACATTAAAAACCCCATACATAAGGCAACCACGATTGTTTCTAATGAACTTTAATACTTCCTTCAATTAGTAAATTACTACTGTATTTTGAAAACTTTTGTGTAGATTCCCATTTGTTTATAACTCGCGTTTCACGATGTAGGGATGTAGTAGGAAACACGATCGAGACGTAGTTAAGTGTTTCTCCTACTTCTTCAGCGCTCTAGCCGCTTGCTGAGATAATGAATATCTATGAAGACTACAATAGGGCGTAGAAAGTGAAGCGCCAGCTGGCTATAACATTAATATCGTCGCATGTTTCAGTCAGGGACTTTATCAAGCTTGGGGCTGTTATATTACATACATGTATACTGTTAAGACTTCCATTATATTTAGGGCTAAAACCGATTACACATATAATTAGACCCTTTATTACATTTAGGGCCAAAAGTTATTACACTTAGGACCTTTATTACATTTAGGGCCAAAAGTTATTATACTTAGGACCTTTATTACATTTAGGGTCATTTATTACATTTGAGGCCTCAACCCCCATTTCTTTCTTCAACGGGTAAACCTTGAAGGGTACCTTTCACGATGCCTTGTTAAGTGGACATGGTGGAGAGTCACATATCAAGGTGTTCCGCATAAGTTGTATGCCGGATAACTTTTCGTGCCGGTATAGTGAGAGTATAGGCTCCTTACACGAAAGCTGACAATCACGGACGGGCAAGCTAAGGCCTATCATGCCTGTTTAGATAGCCAGTCAGAAAGGAGACTGTGCAATACTTGGTGCTTTGCCACTGCCACTTTTTAGTAAACATGAAAAGGAGCGCATCATTCATCAAGAATACACTGATTTTGGTCAGTTGGCCATTCATAGCATCAGATAAACGTATGTGTTTTTATTATTTTTTAATTGACTTTATCCCCTTAGTTCAAACAGTTTCTTTACATCTGCTTCTGTTAACAGCTCAACAAGAACATTTTGAATTTGACACTGATATAATTCATCATAAATACCATCATGGAGTCTTCCATTAAGTTATCAATTTCCTAAGTGTCATCCATTTATGACATCAAAAAAAGCGATTTTTTTTTACATTATTCCCTTGGTGCATTAGCTACTTTACAATTTATCAAGAGCCTGTTTAATTTTACACGAATTCACCGTAAATATCAGCGCATGCTCTTCCATGGTTATCACCTTCCCACGTGTCATCCAAATCCTCAATATACCACAGGCGCAGATTTTGACCAGCACTAATGGAAACTGGAGTGTCGTAAATCGACATGACAAGCTCGGGCGAATAGGAGCTGTAACCAGGAACTAAGACCCAATTAAAGGAGCCTTTACCTAACTTGCTTGGTGGGAAAAGGATCTTATCACCTTCGTTTGTCGAGGCGACAATAATGAAATTCGTGCTACCACTGTTTGAGTATAGGCCACATCCCCAGTGAGACCAGAATATGGGAGAGGGACCAGCACAGGCGACATAGCCATTCAAATTAACCAACTTGATCTTCCTTAGTTTGCCCCCTTTGGCAGCCTTGAATTGACCATAGTCGTTCCCCTTGGCTTCATAACACACTGGGTCCGAATTGAGCTTTACAAACGTCTGATTGTTAGGACCTACGTCATGTATAACTAATACAAAAAGGGATTAACTGTTAAAATCATCAGTAGAGAATGTACAGTTTAATTATGTATATTTTGATGTTATTTCTGAACTTGTATGACAGGCAATACAACTTATCTGCGATCAACTCTCCGGAGGCTTTAGCTCGCAAGCTAACAATACATTTTACTAAATTGATACGTTATCAGGCCAAACTAATTTTATTGATTGCAAACGACTGATAATTTCTATGACGAAGAATTTCAAAGCTAAGTTATTTACCTTTCGTTCTACTAAAAAGTTATTCATTTTGATATCTGTTATTAGGATCAAATCAGGAATAACCAGAATTTACTGAGCATCATCAAAAATTGATGTTCATAGTACGTTATATAAGAATCTGTTACTCATAAGATAAAAGCAATGAGGTTTAATTAATGCAAATGAGCATATGAGATGATATAAGCGTATGTCAGCAGTTTGCATTCTCCCAGGCCTTCATGGTCATGCATAAGGTCACGCAACGGTTAGGTCACGTGACTCGGATCAAATTCGCTACGTAATAAAACGAGGCCCGAGATCTGCGCATGTTCAGCAATTCGAAAGTATGGAAAACAAGAATACATATCTTTACCAATTTTTGGAAAACGAACAAACAAAAAAAAAACGTTTACATATCAAAAAAATAATTCAACTGCCACTGGATTGTCTTTGAACTCCAACATGGCCGCCGCTTAATGTTTTTGGAGCACCATTATATAGGCGCCTCGGCGTCCGTGTGGAAACGTTCTATACAGCAGTGAAGTTTGTATTTGTTTTCCGATCACGCATTCACGTTTAGAAATTGTTACTCACCCACTTGTTGCTTCAGCTCGTCCACTTTGGTTATCAAGTCATTTACCTTTTTCAGGGCCCCTGAAACATGAAGAGAGAACCATTGAAAAACTTACACTATGTTATACAACTTTAGGATAGTATTTGCAGTCATGATTTGTAGTGTGAGACCTCCCATAAAATAACTGTCCAAAAGTTCTGTTTTTAAGAAACAACTTTCATATTATAATGGATGACACTGGGCTCCATCGCTTTTTTACACGAGCCGGACAGAAAAACACTTTATTGATATGGATACATTGCCCACATTTGAAATAACTTTGACTGTTTTCCTACCTTTAACCTAGAGTTTTAAATTCTGCTTTTAGGCTTAAAGTAGATGAAGCAGACAAATTCTGCATGGACTCTGACTGTCGCTAGCTGTCGCTCACTTAAACTGTCCTAGTTATCGCCTTTAGCGAGTAAACTAATAAAAACACCACATGAAAACAATAACAAACTCCTGACCTTTAATTCTGGAAAATATCGTGTTCCTTTAAAGCTAAGGCATGAAAGAACTGCGAATATACTGTTACATATTCATCTTGAATGCATGAAATTAAAGCAAGACGGCAAGTTTTGCTCATCATTAGTGTGCTTTCGGAAGCTTTATCTATAAATTGAAGGGTTTAGCACATTATGCTTACTTTTACAGGCACTCCCCGCCTCGGACCATCCAGCGAACATCAGGACCATTAATAGCAAAGCCAGAGACTTCATCGTTACGGAAAAAAATAACACTTCTGAAAAAAATAAATTTAAAACATTAATATGCAATTTGCTGAAATTGATTGAGATAGAGAATCGCAACGGAAGTGAAACAGAACATAGATCAATCCCAGCTTTAAGTGTTCCTAATCTAAAAGGGATGAGCAGTTATAGTAAATTGCAAAATTTGATAATGAATGATCAGCGGTTTAAAACAGGAAGAGATAGACGCATTTTCAGGCACTAGACAATATCAAATTAAGGAGTTTGCTTCATTTCGAAGACTGAAAACTTTAATGACGAGCTTTCCCTTCCCAGTCCTCATCTGCCAGGATCGCATATTCTTAGCTCTTCCGTTTCTGATATTATCGATAACAGGTGGGTCGGCCTTTGTCGCCCTACCATCGTTGGAGAATAACACTCTATAGTTATAACTGTAAAACGTTTGAATCCAGGAGTCATTTCATAAGTAGTCCTGACTAGGAATGTTGTTGACAGTGACGGATGTTTCGAGAACTTGTGCGGCACACATCTTCAGAGTCAGAGTGAGTTGTATCACGTCCTTTGTTGTTAGTCAAATTGTCGATTTTCCAGTCATTCTCCCGTGGTTTGAGTCCGTCAATAAGTCGTTTGTACGGTGCCGGTAACTGGGTCTGTTGACTTAAGTCACGTAACGATTCGGTGGCGTTTGTTCTAAGTTAGTAAACCAGCTTTCTAAATAAAAACTGAATAGTAAACATGGCCACAATTGCGTGGTTAAATTCACTTCAGCTATGTGTTACAATATGTGCAGGAGACTTTTTCAAAGAGAAGCAAAAATCTTCGTTTTGAGGAAAAACTTGAATGACAAACTTTTCTTCTCACCGGTGCATCCGCCAGGATCCTAAAAAAGGGTTGGGGGGCGGGGGGGGAGGACAAAGAAAGATTTACCTTTAATTTTCAGCTTTCTAAATAAAAACTGAAAAAAAGGGTGGGGGACAAAGAAAGATTTACCTGCGTCATTAATTTTCAGTTGTTCATGGAAATTTTACTTCCTGAAGGTTGATGCAATAATATTTCGAATACGGATGCAAAATGTTTCCTCTTATATCATAGTATTTCCAGGCTTAAATGACAGTCAAGGAACTGGGTGAAAATGAAAGCCTTAAAACTGCTATAATTCTTAGTTTAAGTTATTAATTTACAAGTTTTCCTTACCTTTAACTCAGACGAAATGAGGCGCAACCAGCAGTATATCTGCCTCTGTATCGATCCAGCGACAAAGTACAAAGTGTTCGTTCTTATTGAACACAGTAAGTTCCCCGTTGCTAATGGTTTTATGCGTGGTTAATGAAATCATCCAGTTTTTTCCCTTGTGGCGTGTGCAAATGCCATACAGACTGGCAGGTAAAGAAGTTGAGAAATGTTGTTCATTAATGTGGAAACTATGCCCAGGATTAGTTGAGCTAAGAAGAATCAATTAATTTGAGAGATTCAACAACAGTACAGAACTTTAATTATTTATTATTTTACAGGCTGAGTCTGCGAGTATAGTCTGCATTTGTCACACACCTATATTCAGGAATGAGCAGAATCATTTATTCATGAGACTTCCTCAGAGAAACTCTCTGGCCTTGAGTGTTTTTTTTTTTTAATGTATTCATTGCTATGCGACCTTTTAAATAGACTTTCGTGGATCAAACCATTCTTGCATCACCAACGATATACAGTTAATAGTCTAACCTATTTATCACTCTTCTTCTTCTTGTTACTATTATTATTATTATTATTATTATTATTATTATTATTATTATTATTATTATTATTATTATTATTGCTCAGTAATTTCTCCATTTTTTTCAGATATTCGGTGAGTCATCATGAAAGTGTACTGGCTAACTTGAGATGAGCCCTATCATTAGCAGTTTTCACTGACAAACTCGCTGCTGGGCCAAATTTTGGCCGCAACGCTGATTGGCTTTTTAGCTCAGCTGGATAAGCATCGGTCTGCCGAGCGGAAGGCCGCTGGTTCACACCAACCAACACTCAGTCAGCTGGGTCTTTAAATAAATAAATGAATGCTCAGGCATTCTAATTCATTTTTCATTAATACGAAAGCCCCTCTGTAAATAGAGAAGAGACGTTAATCAGTGTTTTTGAAGGGGACCTATATCTTGGTAAGTGGTCTTGGTAAACCATTGCGCCCCTTCATTCAATCATCCTCAACTCGAACACTAGTAGGTTGACTTATTCATATTTTGGAGTGAGCCTCCTTACTTTTATGAAACTTCCTCGTCAATTGTTATCTTCCCTTTGCAGCAGCGATACCTAAGAAGCAGAATTTTCTTAAAATAAGTTTGTTATCCTGTGCCTGGAAACTGTAATTGCAGCTTCAAGCGTGCCCGACTCCAACCGAACGGAAAGAATTTCTAGCCGTTGAAGAAAATTTGAACGCCAGAATCGAGGTCAAATTTTAAACCAGCACGGTCGAAAATTTTACCGGAGCGGTGAGATTACCATAGCTGTTTAAGTGTTTTAACGGCAAAGGCGTGGTTGCATGGATGCGTGGTAGACCAGCCGTGGAGATGCCATTTGAATTTGGTAAAGTAACGCTCTACGAATGAGAAGATGGTAAAACCAGTGACGCAAGATAATACTCAACTTGTTTCGTCAGTTTCGTGTGAACTGAGCGAAGATATTGAATTTCTTGATTTCTTGATGTGAACGAAGCGTCTGGTCAAGTGATAAAACATATCACAGACAAACAAGGGATTTTTGGCAAGGATGTCTACATTTTTTTTTTTTTTTTCGTAGAGGAAGTTATAAATCGAGTTATTTTTTGAATAATTTTATTTTAGAAGGGGAAGTCATTATTTTGAACAAAACTGTTCGACTTCCCAATGCTTTTATATGCAAAGCAGAACGATTAATAAGCAATACAATTAGGTACGCGCAAACTTTGTTAAGCATCCGGCAAACTTATGATCGAGAGAGGATATCCTAAATTGACTATACAATTAGTTGAAAGATCTAATCATGTGCACAGTAGAAGTTGTAATCATTCCCTCCCTTCGATCCTTAATACGATCCTTCAATTTTAAACATTATATTTTCGAAGCAGTAAGTCAATGATTTAGTGTCCCGATTGTGCTTGTAACATGCTTAATGTTTATATAAATGTTAATTGAAAGAATCAAAAGCTTTATTTTTCGTTCTCCACAATAATTGCTAACGTCAGTCAAGAAAAATAGCTCAGTGAAACTTAGCTTTACAAAGTTACTCGCAAATATGTACGAAATATAAGGATACGCAATCTTACCCAGCCTTGAACAACTACTAGTCTAAGATTATTCCTCTAGGGTTTTGATTGGGTGTCACGTGACGTGGTAACGCCCCTCCCGATTGTGCTCGGCAACTTTTGGCGTTGGGAGCAACTTTTTGCAGTTTTAGCAGCCTCG